GTTTGACAAGCCCCAAAATATAACTCAGAGAGAATAGCCGACAGGCGGCCAGATGGGATTGGAAGCCGATATTTGTCCGAAATCAACAGAATGCTCTTTGTGTCGCAGAGGGAAACACCGGAGACGGCTCCAGTAATCAGCTTCGATCCGCTGCGACGGGACTTTACAGTAAAGAGCCTCCGCATAATAACGCGAGATTAGAACGGAACAGTAAGTGCGTCTTGTTTTCATATTTGGCACAGAAATGAAGTTATGACTGTAAAGGATAAGGGGGGCAGATAGAGGTGGAGGATGGGGGGGAGAGAGCCCCCAAAGGCCCTTGTTTACGTGATGAAGGGGTCCAGATCCACCTGTAGTCCAACATATAATGTAATTATTAGAAGACGTTAGTTTGGGCTGAAAGGCTCACATTCTGCCGGACAATCGGACTTCATATTCATTCACTTTTCACGGCGTGTTTCAGTGGTAAGACGTGACGTTGGTTCCACATTAGATATTTAGTTAATGTTGTTTTTTAAAATCAAATAATATTGATTTTAAAATGCTGCTACATCATAATAAAACTCCGGGGGATTAAATCATTTTAGTGTTATTTTAAGGTCCTAAAAATATAAAACATTCAGTTTTCATTTATACGTTTAAATATGTTTTATTTCCCTTTTTATATCAAATCAATTCAAGTACTTCAATAATAATAATATTGTTGTCTGCCCTCACAGTGCAGAGAAGCCAAATATCAGTTCCACGTCATTCTCTTTGTTTATTCTATTTTTTAACAAAGAGGTCTGTGTAACATATTTCGTGAGCAGACCATGAAACATAGTGTGTGTGTGTGTGTGTGTGTGTGTGTGTGTGTGTGTGTGTGTGTGTGTGTGTGTGTGTGTGTGTGTGTGTGTGTGTGTTTGAGTTATCAGGAGTTATGAGATGTTTAAAAGTGGACGGCTGTGTTCACACCAAACCTCGCTCCTCTGGAGGCCATAAACAGGAGCGAGAAGACGACGATATATATGCAGCAGTTTATGACAAGGGGAACATTTGGATTAGATTCACAGCTGGGGACAAATACAACAACAGCGACATTAATCTCGTTAAATCACCTTTAACCAAATAACGGTCAGGGCTGGAAGACACTTTTGGTGCAGTGATTTCCTAAGAGGCTGGCAAATATCTGACTACATTTCATCGGATTGTGCACAAACGTACATGCTCTGTACAATGCAGATTGCCTATGACGAGTATTTTCTATTAATTAAGGCAACCTAATGTATTTAGAAAACATTTAGCTGCAGACTCTTAGATCTACAGACATCCAAAGATGTTGATGTCCAGATTGATTCACGAACACAAACATGCATCTATCGATATATTTGGGACAGGCCTGCAGGATGTGTGCTGTGCAATCATTTATTCTCTTTTAATTATTAGTTTGTGGAAACTATAGGCGAAATAAAAAGCCTACACATTTTTTAACTCGATTATTTTAATTGTATTAGTCATCATCTAGTGTATTCAAGGATAATTGAATGTAATTATGCAACATTGACCAACAAAATGGAGCTGCTACTCAAAAAACGTGACAAAGATAAAAAAACAAGGACAGTACATTCTTGTGTAATTGTTAAATTGGAATCAGAATGAATGTAAACAGCAGCAGCTAAACTATTTGGGCATTATGGGAATGCTTTTTCCTTTATAAATACCGCCATTATCGGTGATGTGATTTGACTAAATTCCTTTTAATTTCAGCGCCATTGATTTGATTAATTTGCAAAAATATTTATTTGCGTACATGTCTCGTCACAACGATTCATTTTGTAATCTACACAAACACAACACGGTCAACGATGATTTTATCGTCATCCGCGGCTTCTGCTCACTCGCGCTCGGTCAGCACGAGACGGTGCGCGTCGATCTGGAGGGCTGGAGGTCGCAGTTAATGTCTAAACCGGGTTAAAGCGGCTCTCAGCTCGGCTTTGACCCGGCAGCGGGCTGGGGGCGGAGGGGTGAGCCGGCGGTCAGCCTGTCTAAGATGAAAAAGTGAAACGACCCCAAAGAAAGAAAAGCCACATCTGAATGGCTTTATGTCGCAGCTCGGGACGAGAGGCAGTTTATACGAAAGTTTGTCTAAAATGCAGTTTAAAAGCTGCTTGAGCTGGTTGTGGTTAAATGGCCTGTTGGAATAACAACTGGGAGGTGTGTGTGCAGCATTATATTATAAAGAGGATTCAGCTTAAATAACATGATTTACAGCCCAGGAGCTGACGGTAATCAATACCTTACCGATAATTGAAAATGGATGATTAAACGGCAGCTTCAGGAAAAATCAGTTAACGATGAAGCAGAAAAATAATCAATTCAATTATGTTCAAACGAAACCATTTTAATATAAATATGGCCATTTTCTCACATTTTAACACTTTAATTTCAAGCTGCCTTTGCACAACAATAATCCACGCAGGCATGAGAGGGAGAGGGAGAGACCGGGGGGAGACAATGGGCTCGCGACTCCCGCAGGCCGCGTGAACTCTGGATGGTCCCCAGCGCGAGCCCCTGCCCGGCCCTGTCCAGCGCGAGGACTAATGAAACGGTGAACCAGCGGTCAACGATTCTGATTGACCCTCTCGCGACCCGCCGGCAGCTAGGTTACATTCTTAAAGAAGAATGCTCTTTACAAAAAAGAAGAAGAAAAAAACCCTAAAACGTTGTTGTTGTTGCATCTAAAAAGAGTCCGCCAAAGTTCAGAGCATTGAAAAGGTGTAAGCTAATGATTCCTGTATTCAAACGCCTATTCAGCGGGAGCGTTGGAGGCTGGAGTCATTGTGAAAAATGAAAGTTTTAGGTCAAAGTCTTTTTTTTTAGTGGAGGCATGGATTAATAGTCCTGGACTGAATAGATCCTTCACCACTTTTCATCTGCAGATATGTGCTCTCTCTACTTTCATTACTCAACTCAACCCATTCAAATACGCAGAGAATCAATGTTTAGCTCTTTTTGTGTTTATACCTTTCACGAAACTAAATCTTGCTTTACATAAAGTTTAGCTTGCTCCCTCTAACTCCAACCAACTGCAGCTTTGAGCAACAAACGGTTTGGGGTTTTTCACCAGCCCCTCATCCGGGACCGCCATGGGAATTTAGTAAATGTAAACAGCAGAAATGAGTCCACGCCAGAGCTCAGAGAATCGCCCGAGGCAGGAGCTGGAAACAGACAATCCCTCATGGCATCGAGCCCCAGAAACATACAGTAAACACACACATGTGCACAAGTAAGTAAATGTCAGAGATGTTAGTGATCATATAGATCAGTGTGTGTGAATAAAGACATGAGGTGTGAGAGAAGAAGATGAGATATGATATTATTGCCTTCAGCCTTGGCATTGATGAATAGAGTGGGATAAAAATCAATACATACTATATTTTACCCTTTATTCAATATGTACACAGTGTACAAAGAGACACCACTAACTGTGTGATATCAGTCATATCAGTAAAATTGGCTTTCATTGCAGATTGCCAGATTATAGTTTAAACCCTCGGTGGTTCCACTGGCAGACGATAAACGTTGAGTAATAAACACCTATAGGGGCCAGGAGGGGGGGGCATCATAAATGCTCTGCAGCAGCATCTAAATGAGAAACTCAGACTTGCCCCTCAGGGCCTTGTTCTTCCAAAGCATCGTAATCTTCATACGAGTCCGATCTGAAGTGCAGCCCAAGTTCAGAAATTCGCCATCACGTCCACCACCTCCCCAAACGCTGCATAGTCACGTTTGTGCTGCTTGTAAACGAACTGGTGGCTTGTTGGGAAAACTTTGGGCATGAAAGCAGCTGTCATTATTATTGCATCCTCAAATAACTAAAAAACCTGACTGGTGAAGTTGGTGGTGACCAACTGCTGTGGCTTTGTGTTTAATATAAAATATATAGAAGGCTTGTTCAAGCAAACTGAGGCCTCTTATATGTTTCTCCTCTATGGAAGCAAATCATTTCCTCTGTTTTTACATTCTATTCATACTCATGGCACTTTATCCAATCCAGTATGAGCATAGGCCTACCTCTGTGACATAGCTATAGCTATTAGAAATTCTTCTGAATGATGCATTATGATGGAGAGTATTTCAGAATATAGTGTATACAAACAAGTGTCACTGTGGCTGGACTGGTGATGGTGTTTATTACAGGTAAATACTTTATTCTTTCATTGGCCTTTCACTTGTTCCATCATGTGCCATTATCAACAACTTTTAGGACTTTCCTCCACCAAAGACATTCTCAGCCGACTAACACTCATGATTTTGTCGACTTATCGATGAGTTGATTTGATCGATACATTTGTAAAACTCGAGTTCCTCCACAAAGATGTACTCATGAATAAACAGAAATAAGTCATTCCGCATGAACAAACGTCAAAAATCAACTGAAGAAATCTTAGTCGGTTTCGAAGGACAGATTAGTCGACTAATCGACTACTTTCATGGAAGTGAAGCCACTTCTTCTACTTCATTCTGTAAATCTCTCCCTCATCGAGCTACAAGACAGATTTCATGCAGATAGTTAAACTCATTATCCACAGTTCACAGTGGAGGCTGCCAGTCCTGCAGATAACTTGCTTGCTTACAGTAATTACACTTATATATCAGAATAAATGTGGTGTGTCCTTCATGATTTATTGATGTCAAATAGCTACATGCTACCAGCACCATTAATGGTCTCAATAAATTACACAATGAAACCGACGCAGCGTGTCTCGAGCAGTGGAAACACGCACATCTTTTAAAAATAAAAAATGAAGGAGTGAACAATGAGTCATGTCAAATAAAAGAAGAAAAAACAACACGGGTGTAAATCTCTGTCAGCGAACAAGAAGAAGTCATCAGCAGCCGGCCGTGAAGTGAACCTTCGCCTATATATACCCTGTAGAACCGAATGTGTGTGGAGCTGCCTCAGTCACAGATTGGGTTCTAGGGGAGTCTATGGGCGATGACTAACCATCCATCAAAATCTAAAAATCTGGTGACCGCTAACAGGGCTTTATAGTCCTGCTCTCTTTCACACTCCACAACTCAAACTTTCCTTCCAGGCTACCGGTTGTCTCAGCAGCAGGCAGAAGTTAGGTTGTCATGTCATGCCTTTGCTGTTTGCATCCAATCTGAAATTGAGCAGGACGGTTTGCACGTGCAAAGATGTGATTACTGCGTGGGTTTAATTCCCTGGCAGCCTCTCACTTGAGTCTTGATTAAGACATCAATTTGGTTGCAGCAGCAATAGGCTTAAACGCAGCATGGCTCGCCGCCTCGATGACGGGCCTCCTGCAGCTTCCTCAGAGCATTTTGTCACTCCTCATTTAGCTTTTTGTTCCACATTCACACGACTGATGGCACCAACCGACACACCTCAAATCCAAAGTTGCCTTTCCAGTTTTCACCACAATAAATACATTTCATTTGTTGGCATTTGCTCGTCTATTTTTGTCTGGACAGTTCACAATAATTCAGAATCAGAATCTTATCTTTAGTATTCCTGCACTAACAAGCAATTTGACTCCAGTCTTTGCATCTGTCTTGATGGAGTAACACAGATATAGCAGCTTTAGAAACAAAAGGACAACCAAGCTGGACAGATAAAGGACTGCTACAGAAGAAGTGAAAACTATATGAACATATAAATATATATATATAAAAAGCAGGAAAGGCCAACAATAAAATAAGAAATGAAATGTTTGTATACAAGTGTTCTGTAAGTTGTCAAATAGTGCAAAGAAATACTATAGTTGTACGTACATGTTGCGTATGTGTAAAGATGATATATAATGTAACTGTTGCTTTATCTTGTCTAAATGTTGCCAAATGTCAGAAATTGAAGCTTTAAATAATACATAAGCTGAAAAAAAGGCTGAAAGTCCTCCTGTCAAATGAAAATAAACCTTTTTCTAACACTTCCCATGGCAAAGTGTGGCGTATAAATGCTTTGCTCAAAGGCATCTCAGTGGAAGTTATTTAGGAGGACCAAGGACTCATTCAGATGTTCTTTTCATGTTTAAAAAAAGCTTTTTGTCTGTGTGCTTAGATGCTACTCCACCACCTCCTATGAAACAGAAAGCGAAAACATTTTCAAAAAAAGTGTGACATTTATCTGCTTATAAGTCATCCCATTAATAGCTAACAAATGACTGACTCATAACCATCTACACCCTCCGCATGAGCTGCTTTAATGCCTCAGCCAAGCCAAATCATTTTCTCCCTGCTCTCTTTATTAGAGTATTACAGGGTATATTAGGCAGAAGTAATAGCACATCGCAGCACTTATTATTAAGAGGTTTTTGGCTGCAGCATCAGACCTCCATCCCTGAGGAGCAGCTGCTGCTGCAGCCAAAGAAGAAATCCTCCTGAGACCCTGAAGGATAAAACACGGATTTATGGTGCAAACATGATTTTTCATCATTTCGTGTCATTTATAGCGAAAGATATTCACGCATGAGTTGCACAATACAAGCCCCCCCCTCATCATATGACCTTTTCTCTCCGTGTGAGGGCTTCAATTTAGCATATTCTCACTTATCTCTTTCACGTTTTTTCGATTTGAGATTCCGCGTAATTTGCTTTCATTTCTCAGCCCTGTCGCATTTTTTCTCGTTCAGCTGGCTTTCGCATCATTTTTTTTAAAGCCAAGCAATGCATTTAAAAGACGCGGTGTCGGTGGTGAACGGGACACCTCGGGCTGACCCCCCGGCCTAACAAAGCCAACTACTAGTCACTGTCTGGGACCCTTTTATCTCATTCTCTTATTGGAGGCCCCTTTCTGACCGGCCATGTTTTGTTGTCCATCCTTTTGACTCGCCACAAGGCCAAATATGGCCCCGCGCGGGTCCCTCAATATGGGCGAGATTAATTTTTCAGCTCCGGCCATCTGTGTGGGGGTAAATTGCAGTCAGCTAAAAGTCATAAATCTACAGTCCGCCTGCGTTTTCAATAGGTGCTGTGTGTGGGAGAGGGGGGCAATTAGAGATGGATAGATAGATGGATGGATAGATAGATAGAAAGATAATAAGATAGATAAATAATTACACTTCATGGCAAATGATTCCTAACGTTAAGTCCACAAACATCGATTCTTAACCACCCCCCCGCCATAATGAAAATTCACCCCCCCTTTCAAATTATCCCATTACGTCTGACATAAACAACCCGAAGTGGCCTCTCTCATTGGCTGGCCGCAGGGTCACGTGGCCCGCGCGGCCGTCCGTCTATTTGACAGCCGCAGGATGGCTTGATGCCAGAGGGGGAAAAAGAGACAGAGAGAGGGGAGAGAAAGAAAAATTAGTATTCTCCTACCAGCCTCGCTATAAATCAATCATGGAGTCCTACGTGGTGAGCTGTAAATATGCTGAGCCGCAGTTCCCGCCTTGTGAAGAAGATTACAGTAATTTTAGTGACCAAGGGGGGTATTACAACAGCCCCCAGGACAGTGGTAGTTATGTAGGGGGCTATCAGCCCGGGCAGCCCCCTCCACCTCCATACACACCACAACAAACCGGCTACCACTCTTCTCAGGGGCACCGCCGGCAGGATGGAGAGGACCACTCGCAGCACCAGGCTGCGCCCTTCCGCGGCTACAGAGAGACGGATGCCGCCGGGAAAGAGTCGAGGTTCCCCGTGGCTGACCTACAGTGCCAGGCTTGGATGACCTGTGCAAAGCCCGCTCAGGTGCAGAGGAAAATGGCCTGTCAGGGAAAGGACAAGCCGCCTATTGTTGTCTACCCGTGGATGAAGAAAGTGCACATCGCTCATGGTGAGACAGCCTGAGGATTTTCATCTCTCTCTTTTTAGATCTCAAATTCTCTCTTACTTTGATTTCTGCATCATTTCAGTTTTCCTGATTCCCATGTTTATGTTTTTTTGTTTGTCTGCCAGGCTCTCTCTCTCTCTTTCTCTTTCCTTCTAGTGTTTTGTCCATTTGTGAGCACCGTTTTTTGTTGTCGAGTTATTTATGATCTCAGTGAGGGTCAGGAAGAATTACAACCCCTATAAAGTTTTATGGCCCTGCCAAAGCGCACGTTTGTGCATGTGTGTGGTGTGTGTGCGTGCGTGCGCGTCTCTGGTGCGCAACGTTGCAGCTGAACAAAAAGCTGCAAGTTAAAAGAAAGTTTAAATAGCATGTTGGACCTCTTCCCGGTCAACCACAAATATAGATTCACATTTCAAATGATCACATGACAATAAGATAACAATATTTACTATTTTGAAATGCTAGTCTGCAGGCTAACTCAATTGTATTTATGTTTAATTATTTAGCTTGTTTTAAGTTGTAAGCTAATATATAATGAGTGAAACAAAATAAAATAAAATGTAAATAAATAAAATAAAAGATTTCCCTTCAATTTTGTCCCTGAATTTATTTATTGTTATGTTATTTTTTACAGTGAATCCGAACCACCTGGGCCCGGAACCAAAGCGACTACGGACGGCCTACACGCGCCCGCAGGTTCTGGAGCTCGAGAAGGAGTTCCACTTCAGCCGCTACCTCACGCGGCGCCGCCGCGTCGAGGTCGCCCACGCGCTCTGCCTGTCCGAGCGGCAGGTGAAGGTGTGGTTCCAGAACCGGCGCATGCGCTGGAAGAAGGACAACAAGCTGCCGAACACCAAAGGAAGGAGCAAAAACAAGAAAGCGACGGACAGCAATAACAACAACAGCAGCGGCGGCAGCGGCAGCGGCAGCGACAGCAGCGTGAAGGCGGTGATAACCGTCTGAAAAACACAACACAAGTCGGCTGTCAGAGGCCGCCATGTTGGCACCTTCACTCTCCAAAACTGATGGTGCTAAGTTGATCCAGGGTGACCGAAACTATTCTAACATGCTTTAAACATTACAGGCTTTACATTACAGGTCCCAAATAAGGACTTATAAATTCGCTTATGTATTTTGACTTATAGCTTAACTTTTACTTTGTTTTAAAATATTTCTGTTGTGTAGAGGTTGCAGCCAACTCCACTCTGATATTTAATTCATTACTAAATGTTTTGAGTCCTACATTTAAGTAAAATGTCAAGGTAGACGGTCTGACATCTCTCTGGAGAAATTAGGGAATTGACATCAGATATTAAAGGCGCGTGGTGCCTATTGGTTGGGGAGAGTGTGTCTCTTGGAGAAAACAGGGTTTTTATTTCTACAGGGTAAACATAATACAGGGTTTTATAATAGCTACCTGAAAATAACTTATGAATATGCACATTACCAAAACGTTGTTTCACACAAACTGGCGCTTAAAAAAGGGGCAAAATAATAAACAGAAGACCGGACAGGTCTAATAGTTTGGCGGCTGAAGAACAGTTGAACCAATAATGTTTTTATTTTGTACATAGAGGAGCCTCCAAAAACAATGCATATTTAGTAGGATAAGTAGCCATAACGTGCAGATTTTTTTTAATCTCCAAAGATGAATGAACTTGAGGAAAAGTACATTTGTATGCACGCGGAAATAAATATAGAATTTGAAAAACAGCCAAATTGGAGGTAGAGGTTTTGAATGCACGACGCTGACTGTAAATCCAACGTGTTTTCTCAGGGTTACAGGGTTTTAACGAACATCCCCTTGTGAAACGTTTGTTGTTTGATTTAGCACCGAGAGGTTTGACATAATCCTCTCTGAAACAACAGTATGTTGCATTTTCAAAGAATATATTCTGTCTTTGATTCCAGTTCAATATGCTATTGATTTCTATTGCGCCAGTACTTCTTTTTTATTTGTATTATTTAGAAGCATAGCCTATTTTATTCTTTGTAGCAAACATCTGTTCTTTTTTTGTATGTGTTTATCTTTGAAAAAAACGAAGAAAATCTCTTTGTGCAAGATTTTTTATATGTGGAAATGTTTTGATAAAATACTTCGATGATAAAAAAAATTAAATAAAAAAAGTTTCAAACGGCAAAACTGCTTCTCATCCCTCTCTTTCAATTACACACACACACACACACACACACACACACACACACGCACACACACGCACACACACTCTTATGTTGTGAGACCGTTTTTACGGGATTGTGACAGAGGGTCAACGGAAGTGACGTAGACATTACCGCCAACATGTTTTATGAATGTAAGAAACATTCACAATATTAATCTTTGAACAAATAATCAAACCGCTATGGATGACGAAAATCTATTTTTAATGTCAACATAGACTTCATCATCAGCATATTTGGGAAAAGCAAAAACATTTTTATAGCCTGTCGACACTTTAACTGAGCGAAGCGTTTATAGACGATCTTTGTTACGCTCATAATTTAACAGAGCGTGAAGCCACTTGAGGTGAGCCAAGACAAATATCTAGTCCGTGATGTCTCAACTGAAGCTTTCTAAATGTGAGGATTTCCTCCCGTGGGAGGATTGAAAATGTGCTACGGGGATAAACGGCGATCCTGAACGTTTAATCATTCGAGCGACAGTCTGCTTTAAGGCAAGACAGAGATATTGGAGCCTAAAAGGAGTATAGGCTTTATACATGGTGGACATATATTGTAGCACAACATATAGTTGATCAGCGTCTCTTTATGTTTAAAAAAAATCAGAGTCTCATGCGCCTTTTACGCATTATTTACGCACAGCGCAGGGCTACTTAAGGTGAAAGATATGGCGTGTGTGTGTGTGTGTGTGTGCGCGATGTGAGGGAAATGAGTGCAGAGACATTAATTGGTGGCATCCGGTCGAGACGCGGTTAAATGTGCAGGAAAGGCACAACGAGGAGTGACACAAAGAAACATGGAATATCTATCACATGCTGGAGATGCACCTCCAGTCAATACTCACTCACTAAAGGAAACGCTAAAAGATCCAACATTGGACACAGTAGCACAGAGAACTGGTGGATACTTTATGGGCTTTGCTCTGCTGTAGGAAATGCAGTAAACCACATTTACACAGATCAAACGTTCTGTAACTTAGATGATTATATACTTTGTGAAAGTATTTTTTCCAGGAACATAAAAAACGTATATGCTCATTAAAAATATGAACATTTTATTCAAATCAAAATAATACAAATAAACTTGACAACATGGGGACTGCAGGTGTGCAAAATATGCTATTTCGTCTATATAATTCAAAGAAAACAGAATATACTGTCTGATTGATTGTATACTGTGCATTATACTCTTTGTATTATAATCATATTGTGTGATGCCCGAGCTGTGTGTGTTTGTGCTTGGTGGACGTTATGCATGGAGGCTGCTGTCTATCGCACCAACCTGCCGTTCTGAAGACTGACTGTGGTGAAGCAGGAACGACCCCGGCTGGTTGCGCGAAGTACTGCAGCCTGCAAGAGAAATACACAGAGACCAAGTCAGAACATCACGTAGAAATGTTGATTGATGAGGTAAAACAACCTATAAGGCAATGTTTGTGATGAGTTATACAGTTCCCAGGATAAAAGAAAACGTAGGAGGACATTTGATTAACATTCATTTAATTAGTGTCAGGACATGATAATAAAATAAACACCCGTGCATAATTATACAAACAAACCAGCCATTCACACTACTGTTGGCAAAGCTTACAATGGTCAGTTGAGACTGTGTTAAACTGATTTAAATATTTGACAGTTTTACGGCTAAAATTCGCTCTGGCATTGTATTAGACTCTATTATGTATTGTTTTATTTTTATTTTTTTGTCCACCTGTATACATTGTAACCACACCGAAGACTGTAGATACTTGTTAATATGATATAGAAATGTATCTTGCTATGCCAGAGAATCATACACACAGTGACTGTGGAAACGGTCCAGCTCAGGCGTAAAGCGGAACTAAACAATCTGAGTTACGTTTCCTCCTCGGGACCTTAATCGCGGGCGGACCAGTCTGTGACTGCAGAACAAGCACTTGCCCTTACACTTGCATGCAGTGGATTTGACCTCATCTTTAGCCATAACTATTATTTAGCAATAAAGGACATTACAGCATCACAATGTCTCTTGCGGCAGAGGCTTTCGTGTCGCAGATGGCAGGTAATGTGTTGACTTTGCACAGTGTTGTTTTATTATTGTCTAATAAGCTAGCTTTAGCCAGCTAACATCAGCTAACGTTTACAGCCTTGCAGCAGTTTCCGAGCAGTGGTTAAAACACGAGTGGCCATTGTCGTTCAACGTAGCAGGACTGTTGAATTATAACTGTAACGATGACGGTGCTGGTCCACTCTATTTGTGTAACGGTAGCAAAGACTAGCTTGGTGGTTAGCCTAGCTCTCATACAGCACTGTCGCACAAGCTAGGTGTCCCAAATGGCTTGCTAAGTGTCGCAAATATGTTATGTTTTATAATGCTAATAAAGTTGTTCATCACATCAATGTTAAAATACAAACCCAAGCAAAGAAGAGACAATTCAAGCAGCAACGGTTCAGGGGCATTCACGTTGATGACAGTATTGTGCCGAGTTACAAAAACACGACTTTACCCTAATGAAGAGCGACTAATCAATGTTAACGTAAACCGCCATCGTAAGATCCAAGATGGCGAATAACGTCTTCCTCTCGCTCAACCTCGGAGTGCTGCTCGCGCCACTGGTCCGTCCAGTGCTGCCTGTGGTGGTCGGAAGCTATACTGCTGCAATAGTGACGTGGAGCCATAGCATGTGAAACCTCCTGAATTGTTGCTGAGATGTTTAATGAATTAATAAATGATTAATGAATAGTTCATCAGAAGTAACTATACCACTTTGATAAGCTAACTTATCGCATTATATTTGTGTGTTTTTGACACTGACAGCTGCTGAGCCTTGGCCTGAATCTGCCACCTTGTACCAACCGCTGAAGGGTGAGTAAAATGGAGAAACAATATGACTTTCTGCTACAGAGGTATGGATATTAGTGTAGTTGTTTACATTTTATTTTTATTTTACAGAGGATCAGATTCTGCTGTCAGACTGCGCCTCATCTCTTGCTGTTCAGGTGAAACTCTATTGGTTTGTCCTCAACAAATATATAAGCAGGCGTAATATGTATGTTATTTGATAGGTGACATAAAAAGTCCTGTCCTGTTTCCCTCCTGTGCAGACCTACCTCAGGATGTGCGGTCTACCAGTGCAGGTGGTTTGCAGAGCAAATGCTGAATACATGTCACCTTCTGGTTAGTACACATGCTGTGAAGCCTTTAATAACTTTGTATTGCTATCGGGACATTTTTAAATCCAGTTAAAACTGATGTTATCCACATTGTTAAGCTTATTTTGTTCTTATTGGCTGTGCTTTGTAACCTACATTACACTTTTGTGTCTCTCTGTAGGGAAGATTCCCTTCATCCACGTAGGGAACCAGGTGGTGTCGGAACTCGGGCCGATAGTGCAGTTCACTAAAGCTAAGGTGTGTAACACGGACATCAAAGTTATTGATTTATTAGCACGGCGTGTTTAACGCTCAGAGACATGTTGAGACTTTTTAATCCCCTGAAGATTTCGTTGATGTCATTTTCTCGGTATATTCCTCATGTTGGGAGATTACGTGTTTCTTATTTTTCTTGTTTTATTTGTTAGAAAATACATATACGTGTGTGTTTTGTGTTCTCAGGGTAATTCTCTGAGCGACGGCTTAGAGGATGTTCAGAGAGCTGAAATGAAAGCGTACATGGAGCTGGTCAACAACATGCTGCTTACTGCTGAGGTACACACACACACACACACACACACACACACACACACACAGGCATCTAAACACACAGCTGAAACAATGTACCGATCAGTATTTTTGGAGAATATCTTCCAATTCAAGTCTGGCCTCATCCCTACAGCTGTACATCCAGTGGTGTGACGACGCTACGGCTGCCGAGGTGTGTATATTCATCTTTAGAATGAAATAAAAAAAAGATTTGAAAGTGATTATTCATTGCCTTTTAATCATGCGTGTGTGTGTGTGTGTGTTTTGTGTAGATCTCGCGTCCCAGATACAGCAGTCCTTACTCGTGGCCTCTCAGTAACATCCTCGCCTATCAGAAGCAGTGGGAGGTTCGCAGGAAGATGAACGCCGTCGGCTGGGGAGGGAAAACCCTGGAGCAGGTTAGCCACCACCCGACACCGATTGTTCTCATGCTATTATTCATGATTTCATAAAATATATTGACATAAATAAAACCTGTCTGTCCTCTCATGTGTTTCAGGTTTATGAGGATGTGAGTCAGTGCTGCCAGGCTCTCTCCCAGCGGCTGGGAACACAACCATACTTCTTCAATAAACAGTAGGTATCTCTCTGTCAGTGCATGTGTGTCTGATATGTCTTGTTTTTCTCTGTCTTTCATAGCAGCTTATTAACAGAACATGGCACAGTGATGTAGGGGAAAACTTTAGTACTTCTCTGCAGATTCTGCTCTTTAGCTGATCTCATTTGGGTCAAAACAGAAACAGCCTTTGGAAGCATGGGACAGCAGTTTCTTTAGCACCACCTTGTGGTGTAACACTGTAATGACCTCCTACTTATTATATTGAAAGTGGAACATCTTTCTGTAACTCCTGAGAACATCTTGTTATGTATCAATGCATTTAAACCAAGGATAGAAAATGCAGCCACTTTATTTCTTTAATGTACTAATTGTTAACGCCACGGCGTCTTCAGTTCCTTCTCATTTACAGCTGAGTGAGGGAAGTGGTTGGAATGGTTGGTAGAAGCAGCGAAGTAGGGCTGCACAATTAATCCATCATAAATCAATCATGATGTTAGCTTTTCCATTCTTAAATTAACATGATCGACTGCGATATTGACGTTTTAAAATGATAAGAAAGCTCCTCTGCATATCAAATCAAGTGCTTCTGAAACTAACAGCCAGCCACCAGGGGGCGATCCAGATGTTTTGGCTCCACTGTTTGGAGAGCTCTAACCCTGCAGCAGCATGTGAAAAACGTTCCTGAATTTTGCGCTGCAGTCCAGAGTAGGAGAGTAATAACTTTATATTTAATGCACTTAATTCAGGTGAAGAAGAACCTTAATTTTGATGCAAAGATTTGTGAACTAGCAGGAATGTAACGCAAAGTGGAAGTTAAAACAGAGCTAAACATAGCTCTGTTGATTTCATTTTGGGTGAAAGCTTTTTGAAAGCCCAAAAAATCAAAGAATAATTCTGATCTGTGTGTGTGTGTGTGTGTGTGTGTGTGTGTGTGTGTGTGTGTGTGTGT